CCCCCCCTCGCCTTGTTGCTTGCCCACATGGGTTTATGGGTTTAGGGTATGGGTTTATGGGTGTTAGGGTTTAGGGTTTAGGGCAAGCCCAGACATCAGTTCCTTGTTCATGCATGTTCATGCCTGCATCAGGAGCGCGGCATGTCTCAAACTAAGAGCTTCAGATGTCGTGGAAACCCCTTCGATTCGTTCGTGGCAGGCTGACCCCAACCTCTCTGCTCGCCAGCCAGATGCTCGGACGAGATGCAAGGGTCAAGTCTTCGACCGGTGAGGGCTGGAAGCCACTCATACCTCCCATTTTTGGGCTACTGGTGCCAGGTTGCCACGTTTTTCTAACCCCTGAGCCCCTAAACCCCTAAAGCATGTTTGGCGGTGTTCAGGGTTGGAGGACAGACTGCATGTTGCACCGGCTCGCGATTTGGTGGATATGAGAACCTCCTGGACCCTCCTGACTTCAGAGGCTTCTACGGCTAGTTTGGTCTAAAGAGTTTAGGGTCTATAGGGTTTAGGGTCTATAGGGTTTAGCGGTTTAGCTAGTCTGATCCAGCCGTGTGCTGCAGGCCTGTCCGATGGGCAGGCGCTCGCTGCTTGAGTCTGTTGCAGACTGTTGACATCTGTTGATCAGCTTTTACGACTAAACGCCAAACAGGAAACTCAAGAGGGACCCCCTTCGAACAAACTCCCGCATATCCGAGTGACAACCCTCGAAACCTTCCATGTGATCTGTGTTCAGAGGGCCGGCCAGCAGCATTCCGGTTGGTGGGATGAGATTTTCCAAGGGTTGTCGCCGCAGACGTCACGTTATCATGTCAGCATAGGATGATCTGAATGTGAATGCAGCTAAGAAGGCGAAACTCAGTGGAACAGTTGTCGTATTTCTCCCATCTGCCTGTGGGAAGTGGGTACCCGATTTCGCACGAGTATGGATCTGCAACACTTGCGTCCTTGCTGTTTTAATTGCATGTGCTGCATCTCCGGGAGGCACCCGGTAGAGCGACGGGCCGGGACAAGCTCTTGATACTGAGGCCTTGGCTTATGCTGCAACATGGGCGCTTGCCCTGCGCCCTGCCTAAACCCCTAGAGCCTTACAGACATGAAGCCAGATAGAACGGCCTAGCCCAGGCCCCACAGTCATCCGCTCTCAACCCTCGCAGGCAGGGTGAGGCCGACGCTGCCAAGGTCTACTTGGTGCATGGCCGGGTCGTCAGATGGTACTGGTGGGCTTTGAACATGCGCTGGACTTTCGTGCCCAGGAATCGACGGGGACGCCATGAGCGGCGGTGCCACCTTCCAGACCATTGCCAACGAGCTAAAGCCATGCAGGAGGGAGTGTCTCGCATGCCGCACACAGGCACGTGGACGTCTGCGAAACCGTGTAACCCTGCTCGCAGGGTGAGCGCTTTGATCTACGATGCCGAGGCTCGACTTTCGGTATCTTTTCCCCTTGTGGTTATTGCTTGCAGTCTAACATGACCCTAAACCCTGCGAGGCACTCCAGTGCAACTCCGTGCCGGAGTTGGCCGCCTGCTACAACCGGAGAGTGCCGATCTCGTGAGTGCATCAGACTGAAGAGAGCACATGCGAAAGCTCTAATATTTTCGAGCGTGACTGACTATAGTTTATAGTTGAGTACTGCACTACAGTTTGCTATTGCTTCGGAAGGTGCTTGCAGACAGCGGTGAGGGCGAAGCACAGGCAAGCCACCCTCAACGCAGTCTCAATGTGACACGTATAGTGCTGTACGCGCTGCAGAGGCCACAGCCCCGATTATCGTTGCAGGCACGCAGCCGTCTGTGTTGAGAGCGGGAGAAATGGCGTTTTCGACGGGTCTCGCTTCGGCCTCTGCAAGAGGCTACTCCTACGGTTGTGTCCTTGCGCACCAGATGGGCCTCCAGCTTCACAAGGCAGACGGTTGAAGCGTTGCTGAGTGGCTTTGGTGGCCCTGCAGCACGGCAGGCCGGCGTGCACGTCGGCGTGGTGATGTTCGACCTGGAGGCCTGCGTCCCTCCTGGATCCACGGTGATCCACGCAGAGAAGTGCAGATTCCAAGTAGCAGTGCTCGCTCACACCGGAGCAGGTCACCTGGCCGCCACCGGAAAGCAACGATCGCATCGACGGATACAAATTCCTCGGTGGCGAAGCAGAGGCTTTCTGCGGTTTGCAGCAGAAGGCATCAGATTTGATCGGAGGCAAGAACCCCAAGGCTCCAAATAGGCAATTTATTACCTTTACCTATAGGCAAGTTAATTTTAGCTATAGGCAAGCCTGTGACCGCCAGGCGATCCTCCTCATCAGCCGTGCGCTGGGGAAGTTCGACTTCGCCATGAAGGCCTGGCATGGCCAGCGCATGTTTCGTCCCATCATGACTGCCTTATACTATAACATACTAGTACCATACTATACTGTATACTGTACTATACTATACTATAATATAATATACAAAACTATACTATGCTATACTATACTATAGTATACTATACTATAGTATACTATAGTATACTATAGTATAGTACTATACTACAGTATACTATACAAGACTGGACTAGACTATACAACACTATACGATACTATGCGACACTATACGATATTATACGATCCTATACGATACTATGCGATACTATTCGGTACTATTCGATGCTAAATGATACTATACGATACTATACATTACTATACTGTACTATACTATATACTATATAC